ATAAAACTGAATAACGGCAAAACTATAGCTTCAATTTAAAATTCAGCGCGGTTAGGGACTTATTACGACTTTTAGCTTTGATTTCAGACAAAATCGCGATTTTCATTGCTTAATCTGAGAGATAAATCGTTTTGATCATTGTAGTGCTGACATCTCACGAGAGTAGTCAGAGTATGCGAAAATTAAAATTTTATCAGCATACTTTTCGATGGTCACTGTTTACTAAAAGTTTGTTCCAGATTTGACTTGTAAATACCGCATACACTGTAAAAAATAAAGTGTGTTACTAGATGTGTAAATCCTCTAAACGTTCACTCGACATCGAAAACTGTGTACCTTCTCGTAATGGTCAGTCTCAGTGTATAAACCCATGTGTTTATTATTAATTAAGGTATTAATCGCTTAAATATCGGCGCCTTTTTCGTGACTTGGTGTGCTAGGATTGAATCCGCCTATGAGAAATTTCTGTTGTTGCTTGTTTTCATTGTTTTGCACTTTTATTGACTTTCTTATGATAGTGCCGACTACTCGGATTCTCTTCATCCGATTGATCGGTTTGAGATACTGCCTGAGCTCCAGTTGTTCATCAGGACCCTCGATCCAAACACTGACCCTTGTTGAAACAACGAATCAGCTCTGAGAAGAACACGAAGAACACTCTGGGCGCGTCTCCCAAAAAAATTAATCTGAAAGAAAAGATTAAACCGAAAAAAAGAGGCAATTGCCGTCGAAATTCATATTTATTATATCAATATACTTGGTCAGCTGCAAAAATAAAATGATGAATGCCTGGAAAACCAAAATCGGCAACTAATCACGGTGAGTCGCCGATTAGAGAAATCGCGACTTGCAAAATAATCAACGTTTAATCGCGATATACAGAACAGTCGTCGACATATTGCAATTAAACGTCGACTATTCAGAAAAGCGCGATAATAGCCGATTTTTAAACAACATTGAAGGCATGAGAAGAGCTAGGTGTGTTAAAAAGATTTCTTATTTTCCATTTTTCTCCCGAATTATTGCATAATTTGGAAAAATAATTTCAAAATCATAATTATCATCTTCGAAAGTATATATGTTGTCAATTCCAGCAAAAACAGATAAGAAAAAAAAGTAAAAACAAACCATCGTCGTATAGTAGATTTGAACAACCGATAACCAATCTGATGTATTTCCAGCAGAGATAGTTTAGACAAGTAGACTATATTATTCGTCTCAGTGTATAGAGCCAGATAGTCACTTCTTAGTGTGTACTTTACACACTTACGTCGTGCATTTAATTCGGTCACTGGTAATGGACTTGGCATTCACTTTATGTGTGCCATTTACACACTTTATTTTTTTTCAATGTAGGCTCCTTACAGAAAGGACCTTTAGCTCTAATAAATATGTCTGACCACCATTCTAAATCTTCTATAAAATTTTTGTTTTAGAAAAGAAAGCAAGAACGTTTTTGGTGACACATTTTGCTTTTTGAAAATTGTCGCAATGTTTGTACTCTCTAGGCTTCTCGTCTTCAAACACAAAGACTAAGGCTCATGCATATTTGATACACGGAGAAAGTGTGTTTACCATTACTTAGACACTATACGTTACGCAAACTGAGATAAGACTACTTTGCTTTTGATGTTTCAATTACGGAAGGTTCCACCTCTAAACAAATTTGCACCAAAGCAAAATTCCATCAAACCAAAAATCTAAAGTCGTTTTTTAAAGTTGAAATATAGCCTGCACAATTATACATATATATCACTCCAACGATTGCCGTTTAAAATACTAATTTCAACTTCCAATATACAGTATATGTAAAATTGGTTTAAAACTGTGAATAAAGATTTCATAATTTAAATTAAATTTTCTAAAGTGTTTTTCGATTAAATGTAAATGATAACAGTAACAGCGTACAATGACATCGAAATTAATGTATAAGTTTTATGATTTATTTGATTGACTGATTAATGTTCTAGTATCGACAAAGAACAAATTCTAAAGAATAGAATTTATTTAATGATGTGTGAGATATTCAATTTGTCTAATCAAGTATAGAATCAAAACAAAATTGTGTTTTTGATCATATTATCATTTTTGTGTTCAATAAATATCACCTGCATACACGTGGACACATGATTGAATATTTGTATCAAGGTCACATTAATTCTATTACATATTAGAGAAATTACTGTTCATAGTAATAAATACATCAAAGACATTCTCTTAAATACAAAATAGAGCAACTAATCTTTCTTCTAGACAATATCCTATGCATTTCTTATCTATTTTCTACAAGGATTTTATTGGATCTTAAAGTTAGGATTCTGGTACGGAATAAATATGAAGTGTGTAGGATCTTGCTAGAATTAAATCATTACACTTTCTTGTTAGGGTCCCATTCCGATCTTAACAGGATTCTAGCCAATTCCAGCCTGTCAGGTATCCGAATTTCATTCAAATCCTCCCTAAGAGTGAGCTAAATTTTGAAAGGATGGTAAAAGAATTTCTCCAAGATCTTCTCAAGAAATGTATAAGCTTCTTAACAGGCTCTGAAATTTACGTCAGGGTTTGAAACAAAAACAATTGCTTCTCAGGGGCATATGAAACAATGGTTTTAGTGTAGGAAAATCTCATTGCGTTGGAAAATAATGTCTCTGGTCTCTGGTATAGCATCTATTTTCAATTATAAATAAGAAGGCTTCGACATTACTGCAGACTGATTTCCTATGGTATAATCTCAAAATTTGACCTAAAGCACACAACATTTTCAGACAAACGGTATTTGTAAAAATGTTTCGTATGACACCAATTAAAGCATACAAATAATAAAAATTTTCCATTGACTTTTTCTTGTTCTACAAATATGACGTTTCATTTCATCTTTGAACTTGTTTTTTCTGAGAATATGTTTGTGTCTGTCTCATTTAACATTGACTATGTACACGAAAGGATTAAAATTCAAAGACAAAATCATGTTCATCTATGTAATAAAAAATCTGCTCTGTGTTACATCATCACACTGATGACGATAAGCCTTTTCAAGAAGTATTTTTTCTTCTAGTGAATATGAGATCAGCTATAATGACCACATATTCGTGTGTATGTGTGCTGTATGAGTAGCGTGAAAAGACGCGGGAATGTTTGATCTTATTGATCACATTTCCGTTTCTTATTTGGAAGATGAGACGTATGCACTTGACAAATGAGAGGACAATAGGTCAATGGAAAGGAAACGTTTAATGGTACAGCAAGCAATTTGAGCGTAAAAGAAGAAGAAGAACGCTAATTTCACTTTTAAAAGAAGAAAGAAATAATAACAATACGGTTTTTATATTGTTGTTTTTCTTTGATTGTATGTATACACCTGCACAAAAAACAACGTCTTATTGGACGTATCATAAAAAATAGAATAATAAATTGACTTTGTTCAAAAAAAAATTAGTGGCAAGTACTTCCAACCTGGTTCAAGATAATTGCATAATTTTTGGTTTACAATGCTCGAGTTTCTTCTTGTGTTTTCAATTGTCTGATGTATGGATATATGTGGAAAGCAGGAGTAATAAAAACTTATAATCGTAAAATAAAGACTATATTACAAAATAATCTAAATTTCAAGAACCATTGATCATTAAGTTTTGTGAAGATAAATTAAAAATGTGATTAAAATATCAAAAAATATTCCTTGTACATCTTCGCATTAGGAAAAGTATTTTGATCTTGCAATGAATGCAAAGATATTGATAAAATAAAATATCTTCAATTAGATAATCATTTGTAAAATGTCTTTCATTTATGCTTGGAATGTATAGTCTATTTAGAGTAGTCACACATAGTTTTGATTGAGTATCAATGAATGGAAACGATTTAGATCGTTATCTGATAGTCAATAACGTAATATTTTTATTTTTTATTGTCATTTAGTGTTATAATTGTTCTTATTCTCTCTCCTTCTCTCTCTCTCTCTCTCTCTCTCTCTCTTTTTCTCTTGCTACTAGCAACTGCTATCTTTCTTGATCAAGCTCAACTATTGTAATTTAATAGTGATGATAGTGAGTTGAATACTGTGAGACCACCTATATGACGATAACTCGGACACAATGTTCGTCATTTATTGGAGAACATCAGGGGTCACTCACACGTACACATACACACGAGCAAACGGTTCTTAGCAACAGACAATAATGATTAATACTAAAGATTATAAAAACAAAACAATGATAGACCAGTTCTGATACTTCCTGCTACAATCACCACTGAAAGACATTCTTTTTTACCTATTAGAATAGTGATCCGCAAAATCCTGTTATCATAAAGTTTGGTGATCAGATTCGACGAGTCATATTAATCTGATGTTTTAACCTTATACACCAATATAGGAAAATCTCTGCCTAAGAACAACGACAGACTGTCTACTGCTTGATTTAAACGATTTTCATCTTTAACTAGGAGCACTATGTTGAAAAAGAGCTATTGAATATTGTTCGAAGAGCATAGTGGAAATCTGTGAGATCTCGGAATGAGTAGTAGATATGAATACAATAGAAGTTTAAAGAAATTATATCCAACAATCTCAACATATTATTTCAGAATTGATCGTCAGAAAGTAAATATTGTCGTATGAAATATCAGCATTGACAAGAGTTCAATAATGTTCAATTATTCATGCGTGTGTGTATAAAATATGATTAACACACACTTCAATGTCACATTTTATTCTCTTTCTATTATCACTGAATGAAAACAATTGTCATGTTCGAGAAAGAGAAAAGAAGCACTCGCTGTGAATAATTAACCGTACATATATCAACTTTATGTATTGTACATATACCTAAAAAGAATTTTTCTCGTTTCTATGCAAAATTCAGCAATTGGATGAAAAAAAAACATTTTTTGTGATTGGGTCTCGTTTTTATCGGAATGATATGAAAAAATGTGTATATTTATTCATTTCATTTCACTTTTCTATTTTCATTATTTCTGACATGAACTATACAACGTCACATACAATGTCATCCTACTCAAATTCATCTTCATCGGAATCATCAACCAATGGTGGTATAACGCGTCCAAATAGAGGTGGAAGAAAACAAATTAAAACAGGTACTTTTTAATATTAATTTCTATACGCTTATTATAGTTTTTCCTAAACTTATTTTGACCAAAAACGCTTAATAAACTGTCAAAGTTTCCAGTTTTTCAATGTAAAATGTCCTTCTAGGAACATCAAAACGTAATGCTCGTGAGCGTAATCGTGTTCGACATATTAACACATGTTTCGATATTCTTCGTCAACATATACCTCATGAACGAGCAAATAAAAAATTATCAAAAGTCGATACATTAAAATCGGCTATGAATTACATTGAAGATTTACAACGATTATTAGGTAAAGATACAATGCTAATACGAACACATCATGATTTTGAAAATGAAGAAGATGATAATTATCGATATTTACCGATACCTACAAATGACTTTTGTATGAATTATCGTATGAACGAATGTTTAAGACAACAATTTCAAAATGGAAAAGAAAACCAAATGGAAGAAACATATACGATAGATCAACATAGACAAGACCAACAATCATTAAATATGATGACTCTGATGAATACGACAAAACATGAAGTATGGGATTGGGGTGATAGCTCAACAAGTCAATAAACTACATTGTTAAGGTATGAAACATTTTCTTTATAGTTTTGTTCTGTTTTGGTTTAACGGTCATGTTGTTCGTCATATACATCCGACGTTTGTGTTCGAATTTCGACAGTGGTAGCTCTTGAGCTAATGTTGACCACTTTCAAAGCTTACCGACTACTGAGCAAGCATCGACCTACATGAAAGTGGCAAGTTTGACTTGCTAGTAGCCTACATTGACAACGGTAGACAAGTTCTTCTTCTTTCCTATAGTTATGTTTCGGATTGAGTAAAAGAGTCAAACGGTTTTAATATTTTAACTTCTGAAAAGTCATTTTTGAATTGAAGGTATACATTTTTTTGACAGAGACTGTATCTCATTCTAAAAATGATCATTAGTTAAATAGAAAACTATACGATAATGGACAATGCTATTTGTTTTAAAATATCTTTAACAAAAAAAAGTACACATCAGTTTGATTATGGTAGAATGACTTAATAATCAAACTGAATAAAATGATTATCTAGTTTTCCCGATAATAATATCGCTTGTCTTTGCCTATAACCGGATGTGTCCACATACTGTGTTAATGTTGATTAGTTATATTTTGTTTTTTTTACTTGGTTATGAAAGGCACATATTGTTCTTCTCGACTCCTACTGTTTGAAAACATATATTAAGAGATACGTTAATGAGTTTAGTTGATTGGAAATTATTCTCCATTATTTATTGAGACAGTTGCTTATGTCCACACAGTAGGAAGGTTAGGATGATGTCAGAACATGATTGAAAGAAAGATGGGAGGAGTAATAATTATACCTATATCTTTAATCAAACTTATGCACGACATAATTTTTCTTTTAATTTAGATTATTCACAATAAAATACAATACCGGTGATTACATTATGCTTCCCTAACTAATTTTATGTATGATATGATATTTTGTAAAAATTATACTGAGAATTATATGTACAGAAATAAAGATATACAACTCTATATGACAATTATATTAAGCAAAGATAATGATTTCCGACTATTGGGAGATTTTTAAAAAAAATATTATGGAAGAAAGATACTAGTGGTTGGTCTACTAGTAATGTTAATGGATGAAGTATATTTGCCTTTGTTATCACAAGACAATAAAAACCGTAGCGTAGAAATACTGATAAAAGAAATAAACACAGGAAAGGATGAACGAGACAAAAAAAAATTAATGTGTCAACGAATCGGGAATAAACCGAATACATAGACACAATATGAAAACAATTTGATAGAACTATTAAAAAATATTCGCAGAGTTTGAATTAGGAAGGCTCACCAAATTTATCGACTTTTCTTCAGTTTTCAGTTGTTAAATAGAAAAACAAGTTTTTGATTGTTATTTTTGGAAGTGAAGGTAAAAACTACGCAAAATATGTTAACATTTCTTCTTGACGAGAACCTTGTGTTCTCTAAAGCTATAAGAGAAAATCGTCTCACACATAATTTTGTAAAATTATACAAATCGAAAGTATGTTCTACCAGCAGTGAAATCACTGAAATAAGGTGAATATAGAAGATTCTTTTTCTCTGACACAAAGTTAGAAATAATGATATGAGCAAGTAGGTATTAAGTTGGAGTCAATGCGATACAGTGGGAAGAAGACTGGATGTAGTAAATAATGTGTATTTCAGATTAGCTGTCGATCTTCGTAAGCTCTAGCCAAACTTGATAAAAAAACTTTCATATTGGTGTGGCAAGAGACAGCTTTTTTTTACACTTTCGTCTATAGATAAACAGTGGACGTTGCTTTACTGTATTATTATTATTATTAGAAATCACACAAATCAAATATTAAAAACTAAATTGAATTGACGTCTGAAACTTTTAAATATAAAATCTAATATTATAACAAAGATGTATAGTCATAAAAATTGTCTATAGAACAGATCTTTTTACCAGTCTTCAACGCAATCACTTTCGTGAAGATTTGTGAGAGAACAGCCGCTTGTGCAGTTTGAAATTCTGCATCTATTGATACATGTATACATACGACATCAATAATTTCGGTACATCAACGTTTGAAGAACAGCTGTAACGAACATTTTCTTAACGTTTTAACCCATTGAGGACGGGATACCCATATATGGGCATCCAGCCCGTCCACAAGACGTTAGGCTTTATGAATTAGAAATAAATAAGCGCATATGACTAAACACCACTAGATATTTTAAAAAATTCTACATCTTTCATTGATAGAACCAAGTTTTCGAGTTAAAGTCAAACAAATATTTTGATTGTGAAGTTGACCAGGTAGACATCTTATCTTTTAGCTATAAAACAACGGCAATTGGTCGTATAACGAAAAACTTCTAAATAAAATCTATAAAAAACATTTCCATTCAACATCAACACGAAAATTTTTCGACAAAATGTTTTAATTATGCAGAATGACAATTTCACATAGTACATAGTTTTTACATGTGTGAAATTTGATAAAGAAACATGAAAATAATACATATGATCAAACTATACATTGTAGCTAGGAGGATAGAGCAATGACTAAGCCACATCAGTATTACTCGATTTTCTGTTTAGACATGTTACCTTTGTCTATCAATGTTTGTCTATAAAGTTTTCTATAATTGCCACAATAAGTCCTAATACTTTGTTCAGTGGCTTTTTTTTGTCATATATCACTGCGCAGTTAAAATAAATTTTCAATAAAATTCAAACATAAATAGTTTTTTGATTCTTAAATTAAAATATTTTGATCATACGATTTAGAGCGCATCGTCATTTAACACTCATTAAAAAGTGTTTTGAAATCATCAGTTATAACCATCACATTAATCTATTGCGGTTTAGTCTTATTTGTGTTAGAAGGTACAATCACTTTTCTTTTCGAATATACAATTGATAATTAATAATAAACATTTTGAATCTTGTTTTCACATCATCTCTCTATTCTTTGAGTTCAATGATGTTTAGCTCAATTTATTATATTTTTCTTGAATTGACTTCTTCTTTCAGATTACATGTACTCCACCTACAACTCATGAATATAATGAGGTGTATATTTGTCTTAATTAGACAGGATATTAACGATTTTTTAATTTATGTATGCGTATGTGTGTCACTCTTTTGTTGACTATGTAAATGAAAAAAAAAAAATCTTGTTGATGAGAAAAAGGCATTATATTTAGATTGAAATATGATAAGTATAGAGAAGGGAAACAATATCATAGCTGCTATTATTTCCGTTAGATTAATCAGGCAAATTTTCTGTCTTAGTCGTTCGATACCATCATTGAAAAATTAGTATTGATGTTGTTATTAAAATAGTTTTCGTACACATAGCATAGAAGACGAAAAAGACGGCAGAGTTAATGATTTTATAAACGAGATGTTGATTTGCAAGCGACACCTTTTTCCATATAATACATGTTTTCATATAATACATATGAAAACATACTATTGATCTATAGCTTGATTACTTTATTTTAAAGGAAAAAATGAATATAATCATGATTTGGTTATTATTCTTCACTAAGAAACAGAAGACATGGCTTAAAATACTACTGACCATGAGATTTTAGTGTTAATATTATTTTCAATATTCAATTTCCGTTTTAAACATCCTGCATGTGCATAATAGATGGCCAAGGGTTAGTAGATCTTTAATAGAATGATAAGTGTGTATAATGAATATGTATGCATGCACAAACATACTATTAAAATGTTGATTTTAAAGTTCTTCTCATTGAATAATGAACATGGAGGATCAATGTTTAAGTATTTAATTTCTCTCCTTCCTTTAATAGCTGCTAGTAATAAAACAATAATATAGACTCATTGAAACACTGGTCATCCAATAATAAAACAGTTTTATAAGCTGATTAGATGATGATGATCAAGATTGATTTCTAAAATAACGGAAGCCAACAAAAAAGAATTCATTTCTATTAATATAGAGTGTTTAAAACGACCTTTTAATCCCATCTCAAAATAGAGGGCACGATACGAATCCATAGTTTAATATGAAATGCTACCAAGAGGACTAAATATGAAATGTAAAAGTATTGTCACCCTATAGGACCTTCCTCAAATTGAAGAACCCTCATGCTTTTCGAGTTCATCACGTACAGGCTAAAAGAAAAGATTCGTGCATGCCTATCTTTAACTATCATTGTGCTATTTTTTTCTCACAAATCGGCACTAGGTATGCACCAGTTAAAAACTGGTGTTGAGGCAGCCGGAAGAATTGTTATACGTCAGTGATCACGATTCACTCAGAGCTGAAACGTCTCATCTTGTTGAAATATGTTTGTTTTTCAAAATGCATTTGTTAAAAAAATCCAAAATTAATTCCAACAAAAGTTAAAGCATTCTAAAATGCAATAAATCTCAGCAAATCTTTTGACAACTACGTAAGCACCAGTTTTTCACTAGTGTTGGGGCATCCAGGAAAATTGCCATGCATCGGTTATCAAGATTCACTCATAGCTGCGGAACGTCTCATTTTCTAGAAAAATGTTTGTTCTACATTAACAAAATTCCAAAAATATTTGTAACAAAACTTAGAGCATTCGAAAATACATTAAATCACGGAAAAAAAAATCGTTCGATCAGTTTTTGGGCTGAGATTTACTGCGTTTTAGAATGGTCTAAGTTTTGTTAGAAATAATTTTGGAATTTCTTTTAACGAATGCATTTTGTAGAACAAACATTTTTCTACAGGATGAGACGTTTCACAGCTCTGAGCAAATCGTGATAACTGATGTATAGCAATTCTCCCGGATCTCCCAACACCAGTTTTTAACCGGTGCATAGCTAATCGGCACGGCACATAACTCTACTACCGTGGAGTGAAATCCCGTCGCGAAATTTGGTCGGTTTGTTCTTCTTATAGTTTTTCAATTAAAAAATTGCTGGAAATGCGCAGCAGAGCAAACTGTTCTGTACAAAATAGTATATATCCAGACTCTGTGTAACCAATCGTTTAAAAATATCAAGAAAATACCCAACGCTACTTTTCTAAATTAACGCTAGAAAAAGATGATCTATGAATTATTAAATGACAGAGCCACGAGATACTTTATTTTATACAGAACAGTTTGCTCGCTTACACATCTCTAGCAATTCTTTTCGTTAGAAACTATAAGAAGAACAAACTGACAAAATTTCGCTATAAGATTTCACTTCATGGTAATTATATCCCCACACCGTATCACTAGTTTGCAAAAAACATTCTTGCACGATGGGAATCACCCATGCCACGAAAAAATACGCACAAAATAACTTATATGGTTAATCGGTTACAAAATTGCAAGTTCGATTAAGGAGTGACCTACACTGTAAAAAATAAAGTATGCCCACTATAACGGGCACACTATAGTGTGTTTTTCTCCAAGTGTGCATTTCAAATCCAAATGATGTGCAGTTGCTTAAATGAGCAATTTCCAGTGTGTTCTGGGCACACTGAATAGACTATCTTCAGTAGGTATTTTGAGTCCAAAGTGATGTGCAATTCTATCGTGCCCACACTTTATTTTTCACAGTGTAGAAACAAAAGGGAAACAGATGATTTAAATCAGTCGAAAACCACCCAAAGTTAATTGATTTTCAGTGATTCTCTGTGATTTTCAATGATATTCAGTCATTTCCGATGATCTTTCATGTGGTGAAAATCGGAAAAATCCAAAAACCAGGTGTTTTCCCTTTGCCTAGAAAACAGGATTTTTTCTAGAACTGAATATAAAATTAGGCTTAAAATATGAAACTCATCAGCTTTTTATTAAGCGGTAAAACTAATCTGAATGGACGAAAAATCAATCGAAGTTCCTATGCATATATAATCGAAGTATTTGAAATAAAAATATTTCATCGTATATTCTGGTGTTTTTCTTTGAGCGTCTATGAGTAGAAAACTCAATATAATCAACGGCACAAGAAAAACAGAAATACTCTTGTCCTCTATCTTTCTCAGCAATCAGCATTTTATCTTGACGATATTAGATCTAAGTGCATATTACAGTTACCAACTAGTCAAGTACAATATTTTAAGACATGTGACAGCATTCGCCCGTAGAGGATTAGAGGATTACCGTATACATTCTTCACTAAGCAGGCAAACATCGACATGTTTATCATCTTTGACTTAGAATGCCGCTTTGTGTCTCAAAATGATATTTTTATTAGAAAAAACATATTGTACGAACTCTTAGTTTTTGACCAAAAATAGATAAGCGAGAATCAATTAAAATTTTACATAGAAAAATTGCCACATCATTCGAGTGCAGTTTTCAATGCTAATTCTGAATGTAACATTTGTTTCAATTCAAAATGCTTTGGAAATGCACAAAAAAAAAAGAATTTTACCTCAAAATCATTATATTTTAAAGCATCTTGTGTGAAGTTAAGAAAAACTTTGAAATAAGATTATTTTATTATCAAACACTCATCAAATATATGAAAATTTATTTTCAAAATCATTCTTAATCTGTAAAATAAAAAATAATATTTAAACTTAATGATCATTTTGTAGCCTATTGTCTAGAGTGAGCGTTTTTCCATCGTAGTGATTCTAAAACAAAAATTTCAGTTTGAAGAAAAAGATAGGTGACATTTCGGAATTTACTATTCACTAAAAGAAATTAAAGAACGAACACTTTTACCTTTCGCCTAAATGTCCACCTACGTTAATGCTCACTGTATTAAATGTAATTGTTAACTTCTCTAATTCTTTCGAAATTTTAGGAGAAGTTTCACATAATTCTTCTGAACTTTTTATTTCTTAGAACAAATGAGAAAGTCCGGATCTTTGAGTGTGCAATTCCTTTTAGAAATGCTAACTACTAATGAACGATGTGAGTTTAGAGTTTTTTTGAGATGGCGTTAAACACTCCTCTTACTGAGCAGCTTTTCACTGATAAATGATTTATCAATATATTCTGTTATTCGCTATATATTTTTACCAAAACCTTTTGACATCCATTGATTTTCAATTAGCAGTACCGTCAGCTCTTTAGTATTATATTTTAATATTAGTTATTAATGTTAGATAATCGAACAACACGTGTTGTTGCTTTTTACCAAACAAGACAAAACGTTTCGTCTTCAAATCAAAAAATGTCCCATATAACACGGAATGACACTGTTCTTTTCGTTGAACAACTATGTTTATCGTCGTTTTCCTTGGGTTCCACTCAAAATGTGATATGTTTGGCGGTTATATTGGTTTTGACATTAGTTTTCTTATATGAAATATACAAGCAATTTTCGAGTGTAATCCGATTACACTCGACAATATCAAGTTATTGCAGTGATCCACGGGGTTTTGGTAATCGATTTTTATTGTGTATCACATTTCTTGCGTCATATACATTAACGAACCTAGTCGATGATGAATACTCCTTGGCTAAATTAACCGCTAGTCAATTAGAAGACAAGGGAAAATATATTCTTCAAACTGGAGTGAATATGATTTTACCACTGGTAGGAGTATTTTATACAAGAGGCAATGGACTCGTACAAAATACGTCCTTTAACATAGGTTTAAACTTAAAAATGCCAATTATTATTAGTGAACTCCTTCATGTTTTTTCAGGACAACTATGGGTAGGAGTATTGACACTTCTAAATATTGAATACGGAATGAAATTAGTTGCAGAAGATCATAAATTTGCATATGCTTACTTGATATGTTCAGTACTAACAGTAGTTTTCGAAATCATCTATATTCTATTGCAAGTGGTAATCAGTATCAATAATTCAGAGCATGTTGATCTTGATAAATATTATTGTCCGGATTGTTCAACAACCGATCATCAGCCTCAAATACAGGTCAATTCGATTGAACAAAAAGTATTAGACAATAATACTTGTACTCGATGTCTTAGATGTGACCCAAAAGCTGCACCTACCATCGATGAAACATTTGGTAAAACGGAATTAAAAACTCCCATTGATTTTCTAGTCAAAGAATGGAAAAGTAATTGGTTAAGATCATTATTTTATTCATGTTTTGGGAACGTTCAATATCCAACATACATCCAACTCCATGCAATGAGTTTTATTTTTGAAACAATTGTGTTTGGTAGTACCGCTGCTCTGGCACTCGTAGGAACACTGATGAGAAAACAGGTACATTGCGAACTATTGGGATTTTGACAGAATATCTTTTTGTAATGCTTGGTGATGGTTCATCTTTTCTTCTCTGAATATTCTTCTAGAGTTAAGTGAAGCAGAAAAACTGTTCTTTAAACAAAATGATTCCTGTTTTCAAAAAGCTTAACAGAGCGACACT